TCAAAGAATTCGCACCAAGTAAGAATTTCTTAATTAATTAAACGATTCAAAGCACCAATTTCTGTCGAATTTACATTTAGCTCTATTTTGAAACTGACAAAGATCTTGATGAGAAGCATCTACACGGACCCCATCAATACAACAGACACCACCATTAACAATACAGTCCTCTCCAAACTCCTGTTTTAAATAAAAACTTTCTAAATATTCTATTTCTTTTTGTAAAGTAAGAATATCATCATGTATTTTATTGTATGTTGATTCAATATCTTCTATTAAAAGATGAGTATCTTTACGTAAGAATTCGATATCTTTAGGTAGGATTTCGAAAAATTCATTCATAGTATATTTTATATTTTGATAGGTTATGAACCTTTCTCGCCCACCCACATCTTTGACTTTATAATTTGTTAAATAAATATTCTTTCTAACATTTAACACAGTGTCAACAGTTTCAGAAGCAGTTTGATAACTTTGTACTCGTTCACTGTTAGTAGAATTTTGAATTTGTTAAAAATATGAATCTTTACTTTCTAAAGCTAATGAAGAGTCATTGTGTTGTATTGTATGATTCTCATTTGAAGTTTGTAAAATTGCTTTATAAAATTAAAAATAGAATTGAATAAAGAATATTTTTTCTATTTGGTTGTTGTTTAATTCCGCAAATTTATTTATCATTCTATTAAATTGGCAAAATGATGTAGAAATATTCTGAAGTTTCATAAAATCACTAATCTGGTTTCTATGTTTATATAATGTTAGAACAATGAATAGTAAATTAAAATATAATTCAGTGGTGAAGATTTGAATTCGAGATTTTTTTGTAAATTTTCTAACTTTTAATTGGGTGATATGATTATTAGGTGTTAAATGAATTTCTTGACTTTGATTATTCTTATGAATTTTTTTATAAAGATTAAAATTGAACTTAAATAAATATGTAATTATTAGCTCAAAGCAAGAACGAAGCGTAGATTTTGAGTCAGTAAAGATTTGGTTTCTAGTTAATACTGAATCAAACCATTGTTTGAGCCATAAAGAAACTGAATGTTTGTTATTATTAGAAATCTCAGGTTTATATTTATTGACTTTGTTATTGATAGTTTTTTGAAATAATATTGTGATAGCAACATTTATAATAAAAAAGAAAAATAAATATAGAATACATGTAAATGCTAAAATAAATATTGCAACTAGTATTGCAATGATAGTTGATAAAAGAATCAATATGAATATGACAAAGGTGTCAATAATTCATTTAGTGATTTTTCGCAAAAGATTTAGAGTTAAATAAATAAAATATTCTGATTTTATTTTGATTAAGGAGCTGAATGTTTTCATGCTTCTTTTAATACATTTTGTCGTAAATGAACTTGTTTAAATAAGGAGATATTTAATTCATTTTTGTTGTCTTTGCCGCAGTTATTTGTATTACCTATTTTACAAAACATTAAAACTAAACTCCGAGTTATGTATGATTTACAGTATAATATATAAAGCAGATTTGTTATGCAATTATACGCGTTAAAACATGAAGAATTTTTTAGTATAAAAATATAAGAAAAAAATAAACACTACACAAGTTTCAAGAAAGGTGCAGGTAAACAGAAATTTATCTTTTGCTAAGTATTTAATGATATAAACAAAGGTTAAAATTTCAATTCTTCGCGCACTATTGCAAAAGGCTTTGTTTGATTTTTTTTCGTAAATGCACTTGTTCAAATCAGGGATAATTAATTCGTATTTAATTTAATTTGTGCTATTTTTGCTGTTGTCATTCGTGTTTCTTATTTTACAAATATCATAATAAACTCTGAGTTCTGTATGATATACAGCTATGATAATGATAAAGTTAAGATTAATATACATGTAATATAAATGCTGATCTGTTATGCAAATATATCGATGATTCAGAAATAATAGAATTGCTTAGAAATATAATAGTTAAGTGGGTTATTTGTAATTTTTGAATCAAGTCTTTAAATATCTGATCATGAGGAAATGGACGATAGCCTTTGAGAATAAGATGAGTAAGATTAGGACAGTTGTCTATTATAGAAAGCATCACTTCCTGTGTTAACACTTCATTAATTTTTTCAATCTTACTCTTGATCATAGTGACTGTTGTATTAATAAAAATTTTCTTGATCTGTTGATTTAATTCATATTTGATCTGGTTATTCGTATTACCTTACTTT